TACAGTTTGCTATTTGAATCTAATACACCATTTTACCATTTTGCACAGTGTATTTTAATAAACTCCTCCAAGAGATTTTTAAGTATCAGCTTCACACTGGGCCAGCAAACTGGATGGGAACATTATCTAAAGCAGAAGTGTCACAGGGTGTGGGTTGACCTTAAACTGTAACATATTGTCATGAATGAATCTTCTTCTTACACTAAGGTTAGTCATGGAGTTCCTCAAGGTTCAGTGCTTGGACCAGTACTCCTTACCTTGTACAGTATATGCTTCCATTAGGTAATATTATTAAACAGCATGGGATAAATATTCATTGTTATGCTGATGATACACAATTATATTTGTCCATGGACCCAAAATGAATCCAATCAGCTACTGAGACTACAAGCATGTCTTAAAGACATAAAAATCTGGATGACCCTTAATTTTCTGCCTTTAAACACAGACAACACGGAGGTTTTGGTTTTTGGACCTGAGCACCATAGGGATACAATTTTCAGTCTTTCTCCCTCCTTAAATGACATTAATCTGTCCTCCAGCTCTAATGTTAAAAATCTTGGGTGTTATTTTTGATCAGGACATGTCTTTTATCCCCCACATTAAAAATGTTACTAGAACCACCTTCTTCCACCTGCGTAATATCACTATCACTAGCGTAATATCAGAAACATCTTATCTAAAAATGATGCAGAAAAACTGGTTCATGCATTTGTCACGTCTAGACTGGACTATTGCAATGGTTTATTATCTGGGTGTCCAAATACTTCTTTAAAACATCTTCAGTTGATCCAAAATGCTGCTGCCAGAGTCTTAACTGGAGTTACTGGGAGAGATCATATTTCTCCAGTTTTAGTTTCTCTCCAATGGCTCCCTGTCAAATCCAGAATAGAATTCAAAATCTTACTTCTAACCTGCAAAGCTCTCAACAACCTAGCTCCATCTTATATTACAAATCTTATTGCTCCATATGTTCCCAACAGAGCACTTCGCTCTCAGACTGCAGGTTTACTTGTGGTTCCTAGAATTTACAAAAACAGAATGGGAGGCAGATCCTTCAGTTATCAGGCTCCTCTCTTGTGGAACCAACTTCCAGATACTGACTGTAAAGCTGACACATTGTCCAGTTTTAAGACTGGGTTTAAGACTTTCCTTTTTGATAAATCCTATAGTTAGGGTTGGCTTGGGTTTCCTGAGCTGTCCCTTAGTTATGCTGCTATAGGCTTAGACTGCTGGAGGACAAACTGACCACATTTCTTCACTACACTCTTGTCTTTATTTACTCTGCTCAACATGTTTTGTATTTGTAATTATTTTTTCTATCCTTAACATGTGTTTGTTTTTTGTTTTTTTGTCTTTCAGATACACCTGCACCTACAGGTCCTTCTCAAAAAATTTGCATATTGTGATAAAGGTCATTATTTTCCATAATGTAATGATAATAATGAAACTTTCATATATTTCAGATTCATTGCACACCAACTGAAATATTTCAGGTCTTTAATTGTCAAAGGAAATTAAAGTCTCTTGTCACTGATTAAACAATCCTCACAGTTACCTCGTCACATGGCATTAATTTAACTCGAAAAAGAAAGAACCCGT